AAAAACGGTATCACTTGATAGATAAGCATACTAACTTCGAGAGTCCAATCTAAATTTTATGACTACGAAGCAAATAAAAATAAATTACAAGCTTGTTAATTTGTAAAAAACTAAAAATAATCACTATTTAGCATGTAATAATTCTAAGAAGTAACAGCCAAAAGATTTGGATAGTAATCAGTTTGTAGAAAAAGAAATACCTATTATTTTAAATGCTAATAATGATATGTTCTTTCTTTGAACGGATTTGGTATCTTTGCAAATCTATGTAAGGACACAGATTAATCTAAATCACAAATAAAAAATACACTAATTCCCTCTCACTAATATAAAAATAAAATAAAAAACGAATTCCTTTTTCGAACATAACCTAGTTAGTTAGTTAGTTTGTGCGTTAGTTTGTGCCTGTTTTTCATACAGAATTCGCAAATTGATGATTCAGAAGTTTATAACAAAATTCTAAAAAAAAAGCTCATTTAGGTAAGTCATAACGGGAATTATATTCTTGAGCAGTCTGAAGTCATTATTTTTAATAATTTAGTTGATAATTGTTTCACCCTAGTTACTATTAAAACATGTCATTAATTTTTATATTACCTCTTCAAAAACAATAAAGGTCCACCTCAATATAATTGCAATTCGCATCCATAGTTTTATTGTCAATCCCTACGTACTCGTCAAATGAGTAATTATAGCTACCTATAAATAAGTATCAACAACCAAACACGCAATATACCTAGCTTACTGCAGTGAAACAAGATAATATTATATTATACAGCACGTAGGTATGTATAAAATTGTTAGTTTGTAACCAAAATCATCTTAAACCCAAAGATAGGTAGGTAGGTTTTTGTCTGTACTTTTATGTGAAGAGATTTAAAGTTTAAAGTAGAAATTATACGTTTGCAAATGTGGCTTCTTGAAATAACGAATGCGAGTATGCGGGATACATTCAAAATTCAACGAAGTCAATGATAGAAATGACAGTAATCTTACTGCACTACTCGTAAAGGATTAAAATATGTATAACAAGTAATAAATAAAAATAAAGAAAACAGTACATACAGTAAGCCGTTAAACACGATGACAATTTGTTAAAGGTACACACTTGTGTTAAAATTGTAAACAGGAACAAATATTATTTACCTACCGTACCATTTGTCGTATTCCGAATTCGTTCATTAGCTGATTGTGACCGACCAGCTCGCAAGACAACCATTGGTCGTGGTGGCCTATGTTAAGGTGCCTGCTTCTCATGCATTGGATTAAAAACTGACAAATACCAACGTAACTTTTCCAAGTTATGTATACTTTGTTAGTTTATTCAGACAATACTAGCAAACGTTGAAGGAAAACATTGTAAGTAAACCTGAAATTATAATTAACTAAATGAGTTTGAAATCGCCCATCCGCCATATGTATGTTAAGCAGCATATTACTCTATCCTTATCCGTGTTTGAAGAGACCTTTGTTCAACAGAGGGCAATTATAAGCTGATGATGACGTATCATATTATGTAATTAACGCAAAACAAAGATCAATGCCCTAATATTACGAGTATCGGAAATTTAAAGCTATAAAAATAGGCGAGGTATCATAAAAATCACAAAACTTCACTCTACATCCATTTTAATGACTCATCAAGACGGATATGTATTAAACAGAATTTTGTTTAATTTCGCGACTCAAGTCTTAATAGACTTAATGAATGTTCTAATTTCCTGTTATCGAAATCATAGCAATAATTGATATATTTCTATTAATCAAGATTGTACCGTTTACATTACTGACGAAATAAATTTTCGCTATAAAACAATACAGTTATTAGTTTATTTTAAAAAGATTAATATTTTACAACTAACAGCCCACTGCAGCCTTTTACGGATGTCGATTTAACAATGAAATCCTCGCTAACAATGAAAGGATCACTAACGTCCCAACCTTTCTCTCCATTTTGGTTAAATTTTCTCCTGACAATAACAAACACAACAAAAACATTAGGTGACAAAATTGGTCCAGGCTTCTCTGAGTTATACACATTTTGCGATAATTTTTATAAAAAATAGATATGATTTAAATCTGGTTTTTTAATCAGCAATAGTACTTATTTCATAAATAAGGGGTCCGAATTAAATGATGCTGACATTGTCATTAAAATTTATGTATTACGCAATCAACTCTATAGTCCATTCGACATCTGCAGGTAAAATGAAAAATTTTCCCGTATTTGAAACTATAATAATCACAGTGCCTAATAGTGTGCTCTTCATGGAAAAATCGCATTACATTTGCGAATTTATGATTATACTGACTGACAAATTCAAACGTCAAAGTCAAATCATCTCCTTACCAGTATAGGCACTTTTGAACTTCAAACAAAAAAGAAAACTATTTAAAAATTCATCTTCTAGTGTTACAGTCTGTCGGTATGTCCTCTAGTGAAGCTAGCTATTTGCTCGTACCAAAGTGTAGATTTCTATGGATAAGAGAACGTGCAAGAACCTCCATGGTTACTCTACACTTATGTTTCACACTTATGTATAACGGCATGCCCTTCAAAGAAAATTAACATACCTGAAGATGTCACGTTAGACATTATAGGACCAAAACACACAAGTACAAGCTCTTACCTAATTAGTGGCCGAAGCAAAAGTGTTGGTAAAGAAAGTTGTCCAACAAGAGCTCAAGTTAAGACACAACACGAGTTTGACACAGATTTAAGTAATAATTCCGGTAATGTCGGATATAAACTATAAACTCTTTTGAAGAAACAACGTTTCTTAAACGCTTTCCCAAACAACATTCGGTTGAACTTGGTTATCGTCAACTTTAAGAGTATTTATCATATCCAAACGCTAAATAATACTGTGTCTAATATGACAAATAAGTACAAAAATAATCATGTACTTCAATAATTCATCAGCTCGATGGCCGATGTTTCTGTTTCTTGATTGATGGGACCACGTTAGTCATTATTTGGCAAAACATTATTTGATCCCCAGTTTCCACTGACAAATAAAAAAACACGCACATTGTAAAATGAAACATCCGTTAGCTTAAAATTAAATTTCTATTTTCTAAAACTTATATTTTTACTATTCTAAAACAACTGCTTATTCTGTCTAGATCCATGATTAATGGTTTATATCATTCACTTGTCAAAATATAACGACAATACAACCAATTTATATTGAAACCTGAGCTCAGTGCTATGTGTTAAGACCGTCTTTGACAGTGACACTTAAAAAATTAAGTTCCGTGTGTCTTAATAAAATAGTCGTGATTTATTATTTCTTTTGAATTATAATTATTACCTGAAGGAAATCCTATAACATGATATATCAAAACAGTTATTAAATATCTATAATAATTACCATTATAAACAAAAACTTGAAGCTGATATTTGGGTCAATCTTTAAAGTCCAAGGTCAAGTTCAAGAATAGTTAATTTAAAAGTGATTGTGATACTTACGGTACTCGATTTAGTGATGTACTAGTGCCGTACCAATATCGATATTGGTACGACAATCAATATTAATATTTTAATGAATTCAAGTGAAGTTGGCCACTTTTGCCGAAATCGGCAGATATATGAATATTAATAAAAAGAAAATGTGCGCTGTGACGTCATGTTTGTTTTACGTCAAACAGCATTTCAAGAAATATCTTGAAAATCTGCTAGAAAAATGCGAATATTGAGTCACTATATCATTATATAAAACAATGAAGGTAGAGGTACTTTTTGCTTGCTTTGAAAACAAAAAAAAAACATGATTCATTAAATGAAACAAGCCAATTTATCTACCAATAGAACATTTGTAATAAAACATGCTTGCTTAAATTAGACCACATTATAAAATTGAAGTATCGAGAATTCCGGTTTAAAATAACTAAACATAATAAAATACCTACTCATCAAATTGATCTGATTAGTTTTTACAACAAGATGATTAATGTGACCGCTGTGAATTCAAAATAAAGTAATAAATAGAAAAAAAATACTTGTTTATAATATTGTCTTAAGTTTTCAACAAATTTGAAAATGATCGAGACCTGATTTATCGATATGGAATAAGCATAAAAATTAATTAAAACCAACACTTAAAGACGCAAATTTAAAGACAAAAAAATTATAACAACAATAAAATGTTGATAAATATAAAAAAATCTATTGAATTTTTTTCAGCGATGTAAGGTACCTATTATTAATTATTATGTTTCGATTTGGACGATGTTAATACTCGACTTACTAAAAGTAATAAATATCTTCTAATTTGTATAATAAGTGTAAGAATCAGTTTGAAAGGTAGATTGGTGTATCTACTTTCACAATTCGCATCCCTGTTTAACAGAAGGTACTACTGTAACTCGAAACTTATTAGTGTTGATAACATCTTAGTTGTCTGCACGTATGTGAGAGTGACACTATCTGGCTTCAAGCTGGTAAAATATTTCGTTCCTGTTTATAGTTTTCCTGAATTGAGTTTCACACGTATGAACATTACTAGGATTTTTAACTCTGAGAAAAATGCAATTTTTATTTCCTTCCTTAAGTAATGGAAAATACATTAGACAAGAATGTTTTTGGAGTATAACGAAACAAATATTCCATAAAATGAGTTACCGTTAGAGTGGAAGCTAGAACGTAAAAATACATACATAGTATAATAATAGTATAAAGTAGGTACTTGATCCTACGTCAAAGAGCTCGTCAGATCAATGAATCGTCGAAAGCACATCTCAAGAAAATCTCAACAACCCTATTTAAATGTAATTTCAATATTGTTTGTAATTATATTTATTTGGATTACCAACAAAGATAAAACATAAAACCTATAAAAATACAAAATGAAAATCTAACAATTCATTTCAATAAAAAAATATTCTCGATTTTGAACCACATTGAATGCAATATTAAACAATCGAGAAGTGGGTTCGTGGTAAATTTATTTTCGACGGTGAGCAAAAAGCTGGCGGCTCCGTTGAAGCTTCGAACTCGCCAGTGGACAGCGCGAGTGACCGCACGTGTTCCATATTCAAATATTAAAATACCGATACACATTTATTTGGAAACAGTGTTTCATCGATATTTTACAATACATTTGGAAAGATGACGCGGCCCTATCTTTTTGGAATTGCGGTAAGTTCCGATAATTTACTTGTGTTAAAATATATGTTAAGATCTAAATTAAAATATTTTTTATAAACAAAAAATTCTGCGTACGTTACTAAAAAAATACATTGAATAGAAGACTTTCAAAAACGAAAATTTAAAATAGAGTTCTTTTTTCAAAAATATTCAAGTATTGATCAGCCTCGAACTAAGAATTTACGAAAATTATCACTCTCAAATATCATACTCAAAAACCTGATGTTTCATGTAAATAATAAATTAAAATAAGCGCTACTTTGATTAAGAAATAAAGTAACTTTCTGCAAAAGTCAGTCTGAAAAAATCATTGGCACATTATAATAAAATTATTGACAAATTTCCTTAACCCTGAGATTTTTTCGGTCAAATCGTTTTTTTAATTGATGTTAACAAATCTGTAAAATTTAAAAAATCTTTTTATAATCCTTACTTCTAAATAACTATATAAGCAGCTAAAATGTGATTTACACTAAGCACAAAATAAAATGAAAATTAGTAGTCATCGGAGACTATATCTACATCAAGATAGCAAGAACTAAATACGATACTAGCATTTGTTCCCACGAACTAAAATCTACATGTTATTTTTAGTACTTACCCAATAACTGACGATACCTAGTGCATAGTAATTAAGTACGCTACACAAGTGTCATACGTGTTCTCAAACATAATATTTTCGGCAAACATTGTTCATTTTAAATTCATCTAGTAGATTTTATTCTTTGTACTCATTTATACGGAATACTTTTAAGGGTTGTCAATCATATAAACGTTCGCCCTGTATGGGGTGAAAGAGTGTCATACTGTTACTGACTAAACACTACCCCGTTTCTTCTCCTGCTCAAGGTCGTGATTTATTTATTATTTATTTGTTTATTTAAAAATCTCATCATATACTATCATTACAGATTTCTCCAATGCGATAGCTTAGGCCTATAACTAAATCTAATCTAAATAAGTAATTTACTAATTAATACCTATTGCACTAGACCCGCAATCCTGCCTGACAGTCGGAATACTTAAGTTTAATCTATATTAAAATTTGTAAGTTTGTATTTAGGGGGTAATCTTTGGAACCGCTGGTCGGATTTCCAAAATTTTTTCACTGATAGATAGCTACAATGTTCCGGAGTGCAGCTGCTATAGGCTATAAAACATCACGCTACGATTAAATGGAGCCGAGCAGCGGGTGAAACCGAGCGAAAAAAAGATAGTCTAATATAATTAGACTAATTTATCAAACATATTACTAACATTAAAAACGTTTCTCTCTTATCATTTTATATGTGTCGAAACTTTATAAGATGATTTCTGGATTTCTTCTCAGAGTTGTCAGATAGGGAATGGTAGTCTCATATAGTTTTTTTTTTTAAATGTCGACTTTTAAGATTTCTTTTTTGGTCTATTTACAAAACGTTGTTTCATTGATAAAGGACATACAGAGAAACGATTGTACATGTCAGTCTGTCGGTAACGAATGGAACGGGTTACTAAAAACATGATCTGCTTAATGCACTTTATAGCCAATGTCTCAAGAACTATTTCTATTTTTGTCCTTCACGTTCGAAAATGTCGCGAGTCGCGGTTTCTTGTTGATATTTTATCTAGGTAACTAGTAGAAACAAATGATTGGTATTGCTGATCTTAAAAACCAGATGTCATGAAGACTTGAATTTACCTAGTTGAAGTGAGTTTCTTGATCGCATGGATTGTTGTGAATACTCGTAGTAAAACACTGTGGTAAAACATACTGAAACTTACACAGAGTAAAATTGACCATGAAACATGTAAATTTTTCAACATCGTAGTATACAGATATTATAAGACATTGTTTGTTTATCCATACTAATATTATAAAGAGGTAAAATTTGTAAGTTTGTATGTAGGAACCGCTAATCGGATTGCAAAAATTTTTTCACTGATAACTACAATGTTCCTGAGTGCTATAGGCTATAAAACATGACGCTACAATCAAATGGAGCTGAGCAGCGGGTGAAACCGCGCGAGAGTAGCTAGTAATTTATAAGTAATTCTTAAAAATATTTCCAAATAATTATCATAAATTTTCATTCGCCAAATAAGTTCAGAAAGACTACCTACTTACTAATTTTTCTTAAACTTTGCCATAAAAAGCAACATGAACCTTCTGATTTTACTTCAATTGCAACTACCATAAAGAAAACCTTTTTATGAAACGTCTTGACAAAAACATATTTACTTAAGTCACTAATTTAAAACAAATTTGTATGTGTAACTAAACTCTTTTACACAGAAAATGTCTTTGTTTTAAGCCAAATCAGTATTTGCTGAGGTCATTGGCATTCGATGTAAACAATACGTTTTTAAAGATTTGACCTCTTCGCTTTTAACGCGACGACTCCAAAGAAGGAGAGTAAAGATTTTTCAAAGCACGTTTACAAGTCATTCTTAATTTGAATGTGTACATTCTTTTTTTGCCGCCATATTTTACTAAGATAAGTAAAAGAGTAAAAAATCGCTCTTACTGTGTTTAAGTATTTACTTTTTTCTTCTTTTATCAAGCTATTGCTAAGATGTTCAGCCAGGATTGTGGGTTAAACGCAATAACTAATGTACCGTGACTCCGGCCTAGAACAGGAAAAGGAACAGGGGTTTTTAGTCAGTAAGAGTCTGACACTCCCTCATGTCCCAACCAAGGCAAAAGAAGAAATTGAATGATATTCCTCTCTCAAAAAAATTATAAAATCCACTACAAAGGTTCGGTATACCCATACCGAACCTTTGTAACTTTCCCAAACTTTTCCGTCAGACTCATGCAGCTAAGAAAGTAAGAAGCTATACAAAACAATATCACTTTCTAAGTATTATAACATAGAACCATAAGTTGACTTACACCAGTACTTAAACTGTGATAAACGTTGCGTGCATACCACATTGCCCTCTTTACTGACAAACATAATTTCCAACTTTCGATTCCAACGCAACTTGTTTTAAAAAAAAAGAAAAGTCATTAATGTCACTTTTATTTTCACTAAAAACTAACTAAATCTGCTTTCTAAGTGTATTTAAAAACCATCGATAAATGGTAAAAGTAAATATCGTAAAGAAACTTCGGCTTACGAAATCGCCAATCTGCCTTAAGCAAGCGTGGTGATTAATGGTCAAACCTTCTCCCTGTGAGAAGAGACCTTAGGTCTTCCTAGTATTGGAAACCTACCAATAATGAATACCTTATTATATATATACTAAATTTAATATACTACCTACTAAATATGATAAACTTTGGATAATGTTTAAAACACCTAGCTGTACAAACAAGTTTCTTCCAGCGCCTTCACCCAACTAGGGTAGAAAGCAGCATATGTTTTATTCCAGACGATCACGACAAATTCAAATAAGTTGAGACATTGTTACGTTTAAGATGAATAAACAACAACAACAACACATCTAGGTATCTGTCTATTTGCGCAAACTTTCGCCTTTATAATAATATTAATTGCTTTCAAAGATTCTTCATTGTTTACATGAGAATATAATAAACAGCAAATTATTTGATTAATACACAGAATTATGTATAAACTACCTATGTACTTTGATCTAGTCTGGTGTTGCGGGTTGAGCGCATTAAAAAACCGCAACTCAGGCCTAGAGCAGAAGAAGGAACAGGACAAGAAAAAGGAGGAAAGTTAAGAGTTGTTGAGTTGTGTAATAATCTGAGACATAAGTATCACAAAAGAAGTCATTTGGTGTTTTTTCCCCTCAAAAAACATGTAGCAGAAGTGTTGAGGACACAGCACGATATCAAAATTGGTCAAAACTTATAAATCTTACGAAATGTTTACAAAAACCGTAACTATATTGCTTATTTATGCACATTGAATGTTTTCTACGCATAATATAAACAAAACAACATTTTATATTCAGATCACTATGAAAGTATAATAAACGAATTTTATCTAAAACTTTCACTACTATTGCCGAATCAATTTCGCAACTTATATTAAGGATGTTTTTATAAACGCTAATATATTTATTTTCTTTATTGTTTTTTTTTTTACAAACCGGTAATTTATTCTTTTTATAAATGTACCTACACGTTGATTTTAATTTATTATTTGAATACCAATTATTATATAAATAGTTATTACTCTTTGTAAATTACTTAGTGCCTAAATATACGGTTTACTTTTGATGTGGGGCGATCCTCAATTCCTTACTAATGTTTTACGGAAAATTTTAATTTAAATAACAATCTTAATTTAAAACTGAACCTTTTTTAATGAGAAACACTTTTATTATATCTCAGTGTAATTTGTAACTAATTTGATATAAAATGTTTAAACATGTAGGTATTACAAGAGAATGAATAAGTATTTGAGGTATTTAAACGAACAATTGTTAATAAAAGTCTCATTAACTTAACGTATTTTTACTGCTAAAAACGTTCATATTAGCATTAAAATCTAAAACTTATTGATTTAAATAAAAACTAAAAATAACTATTTATATTGTGTCCAAAAAAGTGTCCAGAAGGCTGACCCCATTGCCGCGTTGCATGGCAATGCTTATTCTTTGTCTGACGAAGAAACCAGACCTCTGGTCAAGAGGAGGATCAACTAGGCGTTTCGAGATCTCAAAACTGAAATGAACAAAAGGACAATTAAGATATACAAACAATTAAGATAGCCACACAAGATCTAAGATTACCTACCAAATTGATATTCAAGTTCAGCCATGACCGATCTGCCCTTTAGAATAAGCCGGAACTAAGTTCAGACGACTATGCTAAAACCTTTTTTGTCAGTCAAAGCCTTTTTGGTAAATCGACTACATTTTGTTTCGCCGCTTTCCATAAGTTCTATGAACAATAAAAAAGTATTTTAACTACCTCTGGCCTTTGTTTAAAACCATATTCGTTTCGTTTCTCTTTCACTAGTTATAGAATAAGAAAATATGCACAATTGTTCGTTATAACTCCTTCTATTCCGTAAGATTTATTTTCAAATTTGAATGATAAATGTTATAGACTTCACCATACCATGTTTCGAAGAAATTAACAAGCTAAGTCAAAGTTCAATAAGCTTTGTACAAACTCAAAAGCCATATCATAAAATACGTAGACCGTTTTCTAGAAGACACTTTCAAAAGATTTAATTATGAAGATAATAGTTTCACCTTTGTTCCATATACGGTTGTGTAGAAATATACAAGTGATGTTGAAAAGATAAGCCCTAGTTCATATGCAAGATTAGTATGACCCTGCCCTTATATGTATGAAACTGGACTTTGTAACAAAGTTACTATGATAGAAACGAAGTACAAGATATTAATATAAGTGTCACAACCCACCAACCGTGCTGAATGAGTAAATATTTTTGATGTACAACTGAATGTTTAGCGTCCTCATACAACTGAGAAGAGATAAAATTACCGGAAGATTTTTGTATAGGTCTTTTAATGGAATAGTTCAGCAAACAAGCAGATGGTACGCAATAGGCGTCACTTATGGACATTCGTAACACTCAAGGAGTTACAATGTTTATTTCTGGCCTTTTGTGCCGTGTTAAGGATTTAAGGATAGGGGCCGATTTGGGAATTGAGGGTAGAGGGGGAGGAAAGATTGGACCTCTGGTAATCTCACTCTCACTCTAAAACTCAACGTAAGTTTTGTTTCACGCTATTAATCGGTGAGGCCGTGGAATCACTCCAACTGACTCATTCATGCCAAAACATCCGCACTCTCTCGCAAGATAAAATAATCTATCTAACAAATGTTGTTCAAGCCTGCCAAAACCGAGGTCATTCACATTAACCAAATTTAAAAACCAAAAATAATGGCAAACCTCAATCTTATTGAACCGTATAATTATAATGATTGGCATACAGACGAAGATACAGGCAATTACGACGTCAACACGTCACTCCAACAGGTATTGAAGAAAGCACTTGAACTTAACAGACATTTACACCAGTCATCGAACGCTAGTGGTCTAATTTTTTGCATCTAACCACGAATCGCCAATATGTACAAATAAGTAAAGTTAACGGGAATACTGCCAAATACCTACACAACGGTGTTGACCCAGTAATTTCCTTCTTAGGTGACCGTTGTTTCAAATAAGGTGAAGTTATATTGATAGCGAGAAGCGGATAAGAATTTATATAGCAAAACAACCCAGATGAACTTGGAAAATGACAAATAAAACTTATATTTCTTGTTGTTCTGTTTATAACTAAACACTATCAAGTTGTATAACATTTAAAAGATACAAATTATATTACGACTGTCTATCAACTACTTCGCCCGTAGAACCAGGATAAAAAATAGCCTATGTGATATTACAAACTATCTGTATAGATAGATATTTGCCAAATTTTATTTCGAACAAATTCAGCTTTTTACATTCAAACATCAATCTTTTCTTACAAACTTAAGAACGTTAACGTCACGATTTTTTATTTTACTATTCCTAGTTAGTTTCTGAGCCCATTCTGTATCTTGACAAACACTTTATTTGCATGTCACTTGTTTGCCAACACGTTACGCTAACACCAAGAATACTTACAAGTTCTATATTTGTTTTCCCCGCTCTCATCTTGACCTCGCCTTTCTCATGGCAAACGCCAAAACAGTATCAACATTTGACACAGTTACCTTTATCGATGCGTTATACGTGTAAGTTATCCGTTATAAATTTAATTCAAATATTATTCCGGCAAAGTCTTCTTTAGGATCGTAAAATGTTGATGATGATTCATTTGTTTTTTTTTGTATGATCTGGTAGGCAGGTCAACATTAGGGTCACAGTTAGCTGCTTTTTCTTATATACTTATTATTCATTGAGGTGTTCTTGTAGGGGTGTAGCGCCTCTCCAGACAAGACACCAGAACTATTCAAAGTTCCACGCCCTTAAACTTGGTAATATTACAAGGCAAACGTGTTGTCATAAAATATCCGCTATAGGTACAATTGTTCGTCGATACATTGAAACCGGTAGGTGCTCAAGCGGCACCGGACGGACGCCCGAGTTTCACCTCGATCTTTTACAATTTCACTTTCTTTTAGTCTAGATTAGAAAAACTTATTTAAGAGTAAAATACATGCTTCCACGCTTATCTATAAAATTATCTATTTATAATAAAATCTATATGTTTATCTAGCTAATGATATAGAAGTGTTAATTATTCCATTCTTATGGCGGAACTATTTATAACATGGCTTTCACTAGAAAGTGTATCCTAATCGGAAATAATTTAAAAGAGGCCTAAATAATGCTAATTAATTAAAAGTGACACTCAAAAAATGGCCTGTGGGTTGATACTCAAGGTCAAATGCGAAACTATTGGAACTGCTTGGAACTGTTTCTACGTTCCTACTATATATATTACTCACTAGCTTCCGCACGCGGCTTCGCCCGCGTGGTATGTTGATAAAAAGCCTATATCCTATTACGGAGTGAATCCTATGCCTGTGCCAAATTTAATCCAGATCCGTCCAGACGTTTTGTTGTGATTGAGTAACAAACATCCAAACATCGTAACTTTCTCATTTATAATATTAATAAGAGTAGTAAGATAAGAAACTTTACAACCATGTTCTACAAAACTAAGTTATACATCATCATCAGCCTATAAGTGCCCACTGCTGAGCAAAGGCCTCTTCTCACACGGAGAAGGTTTGAGCATTAATTACCACGCCACGTTTGCTTAATTCGAGTTGGCGATTTCAAACTTATAATTATAAATTATAAGTCCAGGTTTCCTCACGATATTTACCTTCACCGTACATGTCAGTGGTATCTATGTCTTAATAATAATAGAAAAAGTCACATTGGTACTTGCCAGGTTTCGAACCCACACCCTCATGCATGATAAGCTGGCTCCTTAACCCCTGGGCCACCAAGACCTATACATACAAAATTTATATTCCTTTAAATTAAAATTTTACTATTTCAGGTGCTCCTCGCATGTTCCTGTCTGGAAGTCTCATCGCGACCTTCAAATAATGAGTAAGTTACATGTTAAAATAACTACTGTATATAAAAATTAAACCGATTTATTGTTAAGTTAAAACAATTGTAATTATGACTCAAACTAATCAATCATTATTATTAATTAATTTCCGAAACTGATTTCATTGTCACCTTTGGTAGTACCTACCTATCATGATCATTATTTTCATTTTTGAAACATTCCTTTTTTTCATTTCATCACTTTCATTATTGATTCATTTCATTCACAATTTATAATAAAAAGTTTTACTATGAAAAAAAAGTAAAAGTGAAACATTCCTGAATGATTTTTATTCAATTGGTTTAAAACGTACTTTGATGTCAGTTTCATTTTAATTTTAATTGTATTTAGAGTACAAAAACAATTTAAAAACGGTACGGTTCGATTTAAAATATTAACGGTCGTTTGAATAAAGTAGAAAAGCACATTTATTTAGAACCAGCACAACTAACATAAATTATTGTAGTTAGCTTAAAATATTAGTGAAAAACAACACGGGAACTGCAGTAGTTCAGGTATGGTCCACTTAAACTATATTATAAGCTTCAACGCCGCTTAGTGATTTACACGCTAAAACAATAATGCTTATGGATAATGGTACAGCAAATATTTTTCAAATGTAAATTCATTTGAATATAAATACCGATTTATATTTCAGGTTGGCGACCTCTAACAAAGATTTACCAACCGAAGCTTCAGAACGAGAAAGATCATTAGCTTACGACGAAACTAACACGGAAAATGAAGATGCTGCCAAAGACATATTAGAAAAGATAAAAGCTATAAATGATGCTCTGAAGAAACCAAACAGACGAAACCAATTCCAATGGAATGCTCCACATCAACCTGAAGGAGAATACGTCCTTGACAAAGAAATTCTAGAAAAACTTCAGCAAGTCATTGCTTCCGGAAAGTTGAATCATCACAAAAATAATGTACAACAAGAGAGTAACATAATTAGTAATGACGATTTAGACGACACAAGGTATTCGAGGCAGCTAGCATCGTTGTATGGTGGTAATCCAGCACAAATGGCAGTCATGTCTGGCGCGTATGTTATGAATATGCCTGTCCTTGTCGTGCCGTCTATGAACACTATCTACGCAAGCAACATGAATCCTACAGAGTACGCAACCAAAATCCAAACTAAAGAAGGCCCATCACCTTCACCTTCACCGTTTCCATCGCTGCCACCTTTCCAATGGCCTTTTGCACCTTTATTTCCTATTCTAATAAGGGATCCACTATTTAGTATCATGAACGGTGGTGGGTGGAACAACTTTATTGAGTATGGGCAAAACGCCGATATATGTAGGAGGCAAAAATCGAACGAGGCAATAATAGAAGATGTTGTTAAAACTCAAGATGACAAGGAAAAGCCTATAAACATTATAACAACCTCAAAGAGCAACGTAAAATCAAGACAAAAAAGGGCAGTTAAGAAACGTACTGTTGCTCAAGGGAGTCAATTACAAGATGTTGATTCAGCTAAATTAAATAAATTCTTCGGTGTTAAACCTTCTTCAACAACCGCTAAACCTACAAAACGAGAACCTATTGCACAAGACACTAAAACTGTCAATCAAGATGATGGAGACGTTCGATTTGGCTTACTCAATTTTTTTGGAAACAAAAATGGATACCAACAACCGGCTGGACCCGGTTTCTTCATCAATAGATTAAAAGTGAGGCGAGGCGGAGTTGCTATCGCTGGTCCTGGAGGTGTGGCGACTGCCGGCAGAGGAGGAACTGCAATTGTAGGCCCTGGAGGTTTAGCCTATACTCAACCAGGAGGACTTGCTGTAGCCGGACCGGCAGCTCGGATTGTGGCATTATCGCCTGACGCTGATCTTACCGCCATAGCACATCGTCTGCAAGCTCAAAGTAAAATAGACAATTCCATTTCGCAATTATTACAAGCCATACCTGAAGGAAAAGTTGTAGCTACTGGTCCTATTATTTATTACCATCCTAACAAACGATAGTCATTTTCTACTAACCCAATCATTTTTCATGTCTTCTTTCTCATTAACTGTTCTCTTTCTCACTCATTAGATACTACGGACGAGGATGGCGACGAAACGGACAATGGAGCAGAGTCATGAAGCGTTCAGATCAATACATATACAATGGCATGGATTTTCAAGAAGTGCCCTTGAACATGGAAGATACAACATTCATGTTATTTATAAAACCAATTGCTCACGCTTTGAATTCTAAAGGAACTGCCCTGGCAAATCCCATCTCCCAGGTGGTGATTGCTAGGAACCAGAGTGGTACTATACTCCATGCACCTTTAGCCACTGCAGTTGCAGGGCCTGGTGGCGTAGCTCACGCGCAATCAGATCTTTATCTTTATGAATTTGTTAATCAACGATAACGGTGTACTAACTATGAAGAAATTAATAATAATGAATTGAACTGATCGGAAATTAATTTTGACTTCAGACTTAAAATTGATTTTCGACTTTATTATTCTACAAAAAGATTTATGTAAATCGTGATAGTGAAATATATTTACATGTAATTAAACCATTTTGTTTTATTTGTCTCCTAGCGTTTTAGTCAAGGTCAGTTAAAATAAAATGTTGAAGATTCTTATAAAAGCTCCAATAAGTTTATTTCAAATAATATTTGTGTAAATATATAAGTATTTAAATTACATATATGATATGAAATTAGTGTAAAAGACAAACTCAAGGGATTGTGAATAATAAAGTACAATGTCACGAAATAATTAAATTCAAATATTCTTAAAATAGGTCACTACACTAGCCTTATTAGATTAATCCTAAGATATATAAAATAACGGTTACGCTCACGCAAATAGGACAGAAATAGAAGTAAACAAATAAAGCATCCTCTAATATCCTGAATTATTGTCCACCCACACATTCTTAAAGATCTTGTACTGTTTGAATAATTATGATAAACTACTATGATTTAAATATGGTAATGTCTCTAGTCAACCATTTTGCAAGACTCTATATAGACAAAATTCTCACTCAAACTTACCCTTTTCAATGATTTGTTTATCCTTTATAGCGCAACAGTACAGTATGTACCATTCTACGGAGGAGCCAAGGGCCAATACTTAGAAATAAAGAAAGACAACCTGGGTAGGATAACTGGAGAGAAAATAGTCTCCGAAGAAAACATCAGTAGTGAAAACATTCTCAAAAATAACAGCGACGAGAATCTCTTAGCAAAGGTCATGGCTGCGAATCTACAAAACCTTAGGACGCTTTCGACGAATCTGCTCAAACTGCATAGCCTCGGTCGCAAAACTGGTTCCTTGGGGAACGTGGAAAAAGCAAGGTATAAGACTCAATTAGCGTCGTTGGGTGAAGCTGCTTCCAACATGATTAAACTGATAGAAGAAGTGAATGATGTCAATATGCTGTTCAAGAAGAATACGTCTGTGAGGACTAAAGATGATGAGGATGATGATTACGTAAGTATTTTTCATCATCATACTATGTTGGTCAATATGAAATGTATTTTGAAAGTCACTATCTTAAATGATATAATATCTGCCTTTGATCAGGTACTTGTACCTATACAATTCGTTACCATATAAATATATTGTAACAACTAATATGTCATTAAGATGCAAAAAATTATGCCACAAACAGTCAATTAATTGGATTAAACATTTTGATGCATTAAGCTTCCTATATTAAACTACCTTTTTCAAACCATAATTTTACAAAGAGAAAATTCATTATTTACTTAATTTAAACTTGCAATTTTAGGTGGCTGAAGAAGGCGTTGGAATCGAATCTGCCGATAATGATGATCCCGATGAAAGTGACGGTTTCCTTGATAAGGGAACTATAGCTGAAGCCAAACCTGTCGGTAAGAAACACACAACTTTCGATTTATTAGACCGCATTAGAAGTTGACGGTGCTGCCAGCGGAACACGTCGAAACTAAACTGCTCGTAGCGTGGCTCCGACCTACGACTAACGTGGTTTAGCAAATAGACTTAGTGGTTACACAATTGTTCGTGAGATGTCGCTACTTGTGCATTCACCACACACGACATAATACATTATTTAAAATTTAGCAAAATATTAACATACTGGAACTAAGTTTCTCAAGGACACTGGCAGGAGATTTAGTCGACAATACACTTTCTTTCCCATTCAAGTAAAAAGAAAAAAATCTCAGATCAGCAGCAAATTGTAAGAACATAAAATGAAAATAAAAGCTTATTTTATCTTTTATTAATTCCAGGTCTCGCCGTAATTGGAGAGCATGGTCTAGCAGCGTCAAGACCTCTTGCTACAGCGGTTGCAGCTTCTGGAGTCGCACTTGCTAGGCCAATAGCTACAGCTGTAGCTGGAGTAGACCCAACAGCTTTGGGCATCAACTTCCAAGTCAACCATTCGAGGAACTGAGTTACTTGAGCTAACTAGTATAGCCATGTTGTGCCTATTATTTGTAACTAGTTAATAATGTATTTCCTTTAATGGGACAAGCCCGTCACATGGCACATCCCCCGAAACCGCAGCAACGTCTGTAAGCCAGGAGCTACAGAAGGTTCAACCATAAAAACACTGGAACACTGAAGAATAACAATGTATTAACAATACTCTGTCTGTAGAATGTAGTAGGTACAAAACAGTGTCTCTGTCACAGCCATCTTTTTTCATAAGCCATTTAACTAACAGCCTGATTGACGAGCTGTTTGATGGCTGAATGACTAGCCATTAGACAGAATGGCTTAATTTACCGAAGGGTCATTGTCATGAAAAGCATATTGCTAACATAATTCTAAGCGCAAAAATGATATCGCCATCATAAATAAATTTCTCTAAGGATTATTTATACAACCACCTAAACAGTTGTTTGAATGGCCAATTAAGCTAGTGGGCTGCGATAGTTTGATTCGTTTAGCTTTTTATATAAATAATAGGCATGACGATTAGCCAGTACCTATATAATAAATCTAAACATATTACTATTGGTTAAATTTAGGAAACCAGTGAGATTTGACGTTAATTTTATATCAAGTACTTAACGTAAGGTTTTAATTCTTCTTAAGTACCTACATTAAAATATACATAACACATATAGTAACAGTATACAAATAAGTTAATTAGAAATACCACGGCCTCGTAGAAAACCGACGTGACACATAATTGTGGTTGTGTTAGTTCGCCATGTATGAGTGAGTGAGTAAATCCCCAAAACCCCTTATCTCCAAAATGTTGGCAGCGTACTTGCAACTCCTATGGTGTAGTGGGGGTCCATGGGCGGCGCCGGTTGCTTACCATGAGGTAAACCTCTTTGCCGCTGCACGACGTAAAAAATAAAATAAGATTATTATAAGTACTTACACGGATTTACTTAACACTTTAAAAGTATATAAAATCTGTAATACTATGATCTACATCTATCTGTGGTACAAGCAATGTTTTCCCAGACTAATTTTATTGAAGCATTTATTTTGTGAGAAACTGTGTGATTGAGTGTGATAAAAATGTCTTTTAAAGACAAAAATGTATTTAGTATATTATTTATTTAGAAAAATAAATTGCATAAAATGTTCAACGGTTGAGTGGTTTTAATAATTTGAATTAGCGTCTGTTCCATCATCCTTCGTATACCTAAATTCCCGATACATGGTTGAATATTAATACATTCTATATTCAAATGTATCTTTTTCATAACGACTATTCAGAGATTTTGAAGTCCCTTATATGTTTTATATAAAAGTTAGAAAAGGTTTACCCATCAAAAACAACAAAACGTCAACAAAGGAACTTAAGTCTCCCTATAAGGTGCGGACTTGCGGACTAGACTTGTGGTGCAAGCGCCCGAGCAAAGATGTACTGCGGTTCGAAACAGGATTAGGAACTGATTGGTTTTTAGTAAGAGTTTGACACTCCTCTCTTCTCGCCCAGGACTAAACAAAGAGGACTTGGTATCATGGAGGTTTATAAAAAAAAAAAACAATATTCTCCAAAAATGAAACACATGGAAGGCGTTACAAAATTTTATTTTAGTAGTTGTAAAATAAATCAATTTGCCACGTCGCTCTTCAAAGTCAGGGTCATCAGAAAGCTGCTTTCATTATGAGTGAGGGAAAAATCTAAATCTGCACAAGGAAATAATTTACATACAAGCAATAAAATAAGTGAATAAGTTATGTGTAAGTGTATGAATCAACTCAACACACTCATGTGGGTAATTCCTGCAACAACAATATGGATATGAATAAAAAAAAATTGCATTACTAATTGATCCTAATCTGGTTGCAACATTTTACATGTAAGTTACTACGCTTTTACTGAGAAATGACTAGAATGAAATATTCGAGAGCCTTTATTAGATCGGAGTTTTGGGACTAGCGCAATTATAAACCGCTGCCAAGGTCAAAAACAGTCAAAGGAGCAGTGTGTTTTTAGACACTAAGAAACTTACACTCCCTCTTAAAATGGGAAATCAGCTAATGACAAGTCTCAGATGTCATTCGATTGACATAAAATTAATGTAAAAAAGTGTATAATGCTTCTAGTCCTAAAGATAAAGTCAGGATTCCTTGGAGGCTACTTCTATGAAGATGCTACTTCCAGTGCCGTGATCAAGATTCCAGTCAAAGTTCAAACATGCCACCGAATGGAGGCAGAAGGAGTGGATAGTTCTTTGTCAGTAAAAGACTGACATTCCCTTTCGCAGTCAGGTCGAGAAAAGACATTTGATAAAGTTTTGGTTCAAAAAAACATGTGCCAACCATAGCCAATGTAAGATGCAATCCAAGCTAATATTATAAATGCGAAAGTAACTCTGTTTGTCTGTTTTTATACCAAAAATCTGCAGGAAGTCGCTATTCGACGCGAACGGAGTAGCGGGCAACAGCTAGTTAATTATAAATACAAATTTTTTCGCGCTGCTAAGTTTAAACATTTGACGAATATTATTTTATTATTGTCGATTGTCAAGCCTGAGTGTGTTTTTCGTCGTAAAACACCTCATGACTGTCCACACAGTACTGGTCAAAGGAAAGGAAAACTCCTATACTTAAGTACTACACTTCAATGTAAACCACGCCTTAATTATTCCAAATTACATGCACTCAATATTTTAGTGCGTAGTAAGTTGAATTAACGAGATGTTTATCTTCTCAAGCTATTACCAATACCACGTGTAGTATTTGCATTTTCATTATGCTCAGATATGGACTACCTACGCATAAATACAGAATACCTAGTCATGATACACTTTTTATCTACTCTATTAATTGTAAATAGAGTATTTTACATAATTTACTACAAGTGTAAGATATATTTTATATACCTACTCCACTATTTTTATACATTCCTTTTTCTTTGAAGGCCAAAAGTCATCAATTTACTTCTCCCGCCGTGGGTAGGGCAAGAGAGAGTGTCAGACTCTTACTGACTGAAAACACCCTTTTCCTTCTCTTGCTTGGAGCCGGAGCCATCCATGGTACACTAGTGGCGGCGTTAGGAGCTGGAGCGTTTTTTATTGGTAAAAGAAAAAGTTATATTGCAATTTGACTGCACGGTTGGCGCGGCAACTGGCTGCTGTGCTGCAATTTCTCGCGGGTTCGATTCCCGCACGGAACAACACTTTTTCATTCTCATCATCAGCCTATAAGTGCCCACTGCTGAGGAAAGGCCTCTTATCACACAAAGAAGGTTTTAAGCATTAACCGCCACGCTTGCTCAAAGCGTGTTGGCGATTCCAAACAAAACACTTTTCATGATCCAGAAATTGTTGTTTCGGGACTTGATGGTTTGTGTATATGGATTTGTATGTTTGTAAACGCACCCACGACACATGTGAAAAACCTAGTGTGCGGAAAAGTTTAAAAAATAATAATATCATAGTAGATATTTGGATGTATGTACGAAGACAAAGCCGACGTCCGTAAGCTAGTAATTTGTATAAAACTTGAACGTTCTTCCCAGAAGGATTTACATACACAATATATGTTGGTAGTTTAATAAAGATACACAAAAATATAATAATGCATATAAGCTGGTCACATAGTCGCTATAAAAGGATATGGAAATCAAAAATGTATATTTGTATTTTCATTATTACATCTAATTTTTAAATATGGAAGAGCCATGCTTCGACATGGATCGATTCGACTGGAGTGATGCCTACCAACGGCCTCACAGAAAACCGGCGTGAAACAATCACAGCGTTGTGTTTCGCTGTAAGTGAGGTTACCGGAGGCCCAGTCCTTCCCCTGTCCAAATCCCTAATCCCCAAAAAGTCGGTAAGGCACTCGTAGCTCCTCCGCTGTTGCCGGAGTCCTTGAGTCGCGCTGATTGCTTATCATCAGGTAAACCGTGTGTTCAATTGCTTATCTTTTACATAAAAAAACGAACAAGAAACTCGATCGTTATATTCAATACTCAATCGTCGCAATTACAAAGTTTGAAAAAAAAACAAAAGACGCTCTCTACGAGCATGAAGGAAAAATTTTCCCTCTTGGTAGATACAAAAAGTTTTTACTCCATTTTACAAAACTGTTTTAAGTTCCACGTGGACAATTATTACCACTCCTATACTTAGTTAACAAACAAAATAATATTTTACATAATTCCCATTCAATGTCCGGCAAAGAAAGAAATAATGTCGTTTGCATTGTCAGTACAGTTTCGGGTCGCTGACACAATATTATGTCATTAGGATAAATTGGACTTTATGCTAATGAAACAAAGTTTTGTCTTGTAAAACCTGTATGTTGTGAGGATGTGACTAAACAATAGTTTGTACTTATGCCGTATTCTTACAGCCGCAGAAGGGAAATTAAACTTTCTAATTGTAGACTTATAAATGTAACAATAAGGAATAATAATATTGTAAGTGATTTGTGATATTATTTATCAAGCGACATCGTAGTAGCCTTTTGTGGTAAAACCTTAGGGTGAATTGGTACAGCCGGGGTGCATGCCCAATAATGAAACGTGGCCCCAGCCTGGAGCAAAAAAAGGAACGCGATGTTTTGAGTCTGTAAGAGTTTGACATTCCCTCTTACCTCGCCCAGGACGAGAGAAGGCACATGAGAAATTTTTTATTTTACTATAACTTAAAAATTAATTTGAATTGATAATAATTAACAAGTAACTAAATTCAATTCTTATTTTGAATTGTTAAAATTGTCTTTTTTCTATTAATTTTGATCGAGCTATCATATTTATGTTACTGGCTAACTGTATTTATTGCTTAAAAAATTGCTTATGTTTTGTGACCTTATAACTTGCTTGTACTTTTAGATTAAAATAAGCCAAATCGGCAAAATCGTTCTCGAGTTTAAGCGAAATTAACAAATAAAAAAATGTATATACCAAGAAAGATAATATAGAGGCAAAGAATATAAATAGAAAAACTTTTCAACTTTGTACGTTTGTAGGCAAGTAAAGGCAAATCATAATTTTATTCACCATAACTTCCTATATGAACAATAACTCTTCATTACCTAAGTTTACCATTTTGGTATGTTGCCAACTACCATAGTGAGACACCAAGGAGGTTGTTTGTTTGTTTGTGCATCTAATCACTCGTTGAGAGTCATT